TGAGTCACCCAGGTGCCCCACAATGTGTAGTTGTTACTCAGCCAGGCTTTAGTTTTGTATCTTTTTGTTTTAAGAGGAAATTGTTGCATATGTAGCTGTAGACTCTGTGCGCAAGGTGAGTTCAGGATCTTTCTGTGTCACCATCTTGAACCAGAACTGTTCTCTATTTTAACTCCACCTTCAAAGCTAGCAATGTTGCATCTCTCTGAACACTTTTCTGTGGTTACATCTCCCTCTGATTCTGACCTCTCTTTCTTCTTGAGAGAGCTTTTGTAGTTTGTGTCTTTCAACAAATATGTCCATTGTGTCTAAGTTGTCAAATTTTTGGCATAAAGTTATTATACTTTTATGTCTGTAGGACCGTTAGTGCTGCAGTCTCCAACATGGGTCTCATCTTGGTCATTTGTGTCTGTTTTTCACCTGAGCAATGTGACAATAAGTTTATCAACTTTATTTTTAAAACAAAACAGCTTTTGATTTCATTCATTTCTTTCTCTTACCAAGTTCTGCTCTTATTTTTTTCATGGTAATATTTCTTGCTCAGAAGACTACTTTGTCTGATATGAGTATAGCCACTCTAGCTTTGTTTTAATTAGTTCTACTATGGTATATCTTTTCTCACCTTTTTAATTTTAACCTGTTTACTTATATGAAATGCTTATTTTGTAAGTAATATGTGATTGGTTCTTGCTTATTTAAAATCCAAGATGACATTCTCTGCCTTTTAATTGGTATGTTTATATTATTTACACTTACTGGGATTATTCATATGGTTGGGTTTAAATCTACCATCATGTTGTTTGTTTTCTATTTGCCTGCTCTTTGTTCCTTTTCCTTTTCCTGCCTTCTTTTGGTTGAGTATTTTATGATTACATCCTCATTCTTTATGGCTTTGTTTTTACTCATTGCTTTTAGTGAACAGTATAGTTTTCCCTTAAACAAAATAGGTTTGAACTGCATGGGTCCACTTACACGTGGAGTTTTTATAGTATAGTACTATAAATGTATTTTGTCTTCCTTATGACTTTCTGAATAACTTTGTCTTTTCTCTAGCTTACCTTATTGTAAGAATATAGTATATAATACATACAAATTAACACACAAAATATGTGTTAATTGGCTGTTTATGTTATTGGTAAGGCTCCTGGTCAATAGTAGACTATTGGTAATTACATTTTTTCAGAGTCAAAAGTTATATGTGGATTTTTGACTGCACAGGGGGTCAAGACCACTAACCCCTGTGTTATTTAAAGGTCAACTGCATACATCTTTTTGTCATCACAGTCTGCTTTCAAAGTGATTTATATCATCCCCCTTTCTGGTCTTTGTTCTGTAGTTATCAGGCATTGATTTCTACATATGTTATAAACTCCCCAATATATTATTATTATATTTACTTTAAACTGTCAATTATTTTTTAAAGAGATGTAGAAAAAGAAGAAAGTCTTTTGTAAATATTTACATATTTACCATTTCTAGTGTTCTTCGTTACTTTGTATCGAGCCAGATTTACTCCGGTTTCCTTTTTCTTCTGCCTGAAGGACTCCGTTAGCATTCCTTCTCCTGCAGGTTTGCCAGTATGAATTCTTTCAGCCTTTGTATGTCTGAGAAAGTCCCTGTTTTGCCCTCATTTTTTGAATGGTTTGCTGACTGTAGAAATCTAGGTTGACAGTCCCCCTAAATGATGTTCTTTATTTTAATGGTTTGTTCCATGCCTTCTGATTTGCATTGTTTCTGACAAGTCTGCTGTAATCTTAGTTTGTTTCTATGTATGTATGTTTCTTTTCTCTACTTTTTAAAAAAAGATTATTTCTTATTTGAGAGAGAGAGTGAACTTGAGCGGGCGGGGGAGGGGAGGGCAGAGGGAGAGGGAGAAGCAGACTCCCCGCTGAGTACGGAGCCCTACATGGGGCTCAATCCCAGGACCATGGGATCATGGCCTGAGCCGAAGGCAGTTGCTTAACTGACTGAGCCACCCAGGCACCTGTCTTTTCTCTAACTACTTTTAAGATTTTCTCTTTATCACTGGTTTAAAGAAATTTTATTATTGTGTGTTTTGGGTAGTTTTTTTTAAGATTTGTTTATTTATTTATGCGTTTAGAGAGCAGACTTGCACAAGTGAGGGGACAGAGGAAGAGGGAGAGAGAGAGAAATCCTCAAGCAGACTCCCCACTGAGCATGGAGTTCTACTCTGGGCTCAATCTCCTGACCCTGAGATTATGACCTAAGCAGAAATCCTAAGTCGGGTGCTTAACTGATTGAGCCACCCAGGAACCTCTAGTTTTTGGGTTTTTTTTTAAATGTCTCTTGTATTTTCAGTTTGTCGAGCTTTTTGGATCTGTGGGTTTATACTTCTCATTTGGAAAATTTGCCACCATAATTTTTTGAAAAAAATTGTCTTTTCTGTCTTTCTGGGTCATAATTTCCCATATATTAGCCATTCAGGGTTGTCTCACAGCTGTGTGATTGTAACTTTTTCACTCAATCTTTTGTTGCCTTTTATGTCTCATTTTCAATAGTTTCTACTGCTCTGTCTTCAAGTTCACTAATCTGTCTTAGCTGTACATCATGAGAAATTTAATTTCTTTTTCACCCAACAAATAGCATTTAAAGAAAACTTCAAACTCTGACACATTTAGTTTTTAGGAGAGGATAGTAATTTCATACTTCCTCTACTTTTTATGTTATGCTTTATCTTGATGACTTCACATACAGTTGCCATTGTCATTGATTTAATAAGAAGATATTTGTATTTGGCTTCTCTCTTTTCATTTTCTCTTTCAATGAGCTTTGTGAGATAGCAATTCTTTTTTTTAATTTAATTTTATTATGTTATGTTAGTCATACATTACATCTTTAGTTTTTTTTTAATTTTACTGTTATGTTAATCACTATACATTACATCATTAGTTTTTGATATAGTGTTCCATGATTCATTGTTTGCATATAACACCCAGTGCTCCGTGAAACGTGCCGTCTTTAATACCCATCACCAGGCTAACCCATCCCCCCACCCCCTCCCCTCTAAAACCCTCAGTTTGTTTTTCAGAATCCATAGTCTCTCATGGTTCATCTCCCCCTCTGATTTCCCCCCCTTCATTTTTCCCTTCCTACGAGATAGCAATTCTTTTGTTACTTTGCCTGAGAAACCCTGGTACACATAGTGTCCTGTTTTGAGTATGATGAAATGACTAAAAACCATGCCATGGTGGTAGACAAGACTCTCCAGACATGAGAGCATAGGCACCATGTCATGTCTCTCCTGAAGAGCCAGAAATTGAGAGAGCCTTGGGTAGGTTGCTGAATGTGCTTGCTTGCTTGCTTGCTTTCTCTCTCTCTCTCTTTCTTTCTCTCTTTCTTCTTTCTTTCTTCCTTCCTTCCTTCCTTCCTTTCTTCCTTTCCTTTCCTTTCTTTCTTTCCTTCCTTCCTTCCTTCTTTCTTTCTTTTTTTTTTTTGAGCTTAATACTTGCAGAGTCTCTGGGTTTCCCCTACCATGTGGTGACAGGTAATATTTACTCCAGCTGGGGAGTATCACGTTTAGACAATGCTTTGGAGGTAGAGGATATAGATTTCTCAGGCTCCTTGGCATACTTGGACAAGTCTTAGTACCCATGGAAATGAGGTAAATATGTTAAGGTTGGAAGCCTGTATACAAGTAAAACTATTTTTAACCTCTCCTGTGATAGCTTTTTGCTTTGCTTCTCCTTTAGTATATAACAGTCTTTCAAGATTTTCAGAATTTTCTTAGCTGGGCCAACAGCAGCCAAGGGAAAAAAAAAAAATATATATATATATATATATTTATTTGTGGTGGCACATTGAAGACAAAGATACCCAAAAGGTAAACTTCAGAGGGAGAGGAGTTACTTGGTTGATGACCTTATCCTACCTATAACAAATAGCTCTTTCAGAGTGAAGCTTTGGAGGCTCTTCATTTTGCTGGATGGAGATGGGGGAGTGGTTTCTGACAGGATTTTTCATGGCCCTCTCCCTTCTCCACCCACCCACTGCACATACTCCATCTCCTTAGTGCAGAGCCTTCATCTCAAGTGGTAGGCAACTAATGACTAAGATATTAATTGAAAGAAAATTTAAGGTTTTTTTTTATTCACACAAAGGGGTACTTGCACTTTGTTTTATTTTATTATTTTTTAATTTTTTTAAAGATTTTATTTATTTGAGAGAAACAGAGAGAAAGCACAAGCTGTGGGGGGTGGGTGGGGCAGAGGGAGAAGCAGACTCCCCGTGGAGCAGGGAGCCCGATGTGGGGCTCGATCCCAGGACCCTGGGATCATGACCTGAGCTGAAGGCAGATGCTTAACCAACTAAGCCATCCAGGGGCCCCAGTACTTGCATTTGAAATGATAACCCTTAAAGACTAAAGGCTATTCTATGATTAAAGGAATTAATACTTACTGATGAAATTTCAGGTAGAAGGAGATTTACTGGGGACTGGGATCCCACAAAATTGTACTGCTGAGCCTATAGATTTTTATATGCCAATATATAAGCATCTCTCTTAACTTCATCTGTTTTTTTTAGTGTACCATTCAGAATTAAAATTTAAGATGGTTATTTTAGGGAAATTTTATATATATTTTCCAAGGTAAATAAGTCAACTTAGAGTATAAAAAATGATAAATTATATATTTATGGTAAACATCTATAAAATATGTTTGTCAGTGAGTTATAGCAAAATGAAATGGCTATAAGATATGAATGTGAATTGAGGTGCTGTCATGATTTATCTGTAATATTAGACTTGACTTATGATATATGCAAATTACATGTTCCTAAATCAACATAATGATTCTTTCCAAATTTATGTTCCTAGTGGTTTGGAAATGGGTATGATATTAACTTATTCCTACATTACCTTATTTCAGAAAAGACTTAGCTAAAATGAGCAGATTCTCAAAGTGCCCTCTAGGACACTTATATGTATGTTTAGCAATATGTGGGATCTCTGTTTTCTAATTTTATTGACATTTGACTTTTAGGTATTTAGAGAGTGACTATCTTCAGATTATCAGAAATATACAGAGCTGTCCATGGAAACGACAAGAAGAAGAATATGAGAATTTTAGGTAAAGAATTTCTTCATAAATATTATGAGATTTAAAAATGTCTTGTGTATTTGCTTTGTATGGGAAATAACGTGTTGTTTGAAGGAAAGTAGAAGGGGCCAGCTGACAATCAGATTGACTTAATCTTCACACCCCCTCCTGAGGCACATGATGCTCCCTCCCCATCTCTTATATAGAAACTTAATTCTGTTATTGGGATTCATTACAGAAAATCTTGAGTTGAAAAAAGAAATTTTAGAGGACATTGCTGCTTCTTTATACCATTTATATTTGCTATTTATTTAGTTTGTAAATAAAATATGGTCGCGTTCTGGAATGTTTGGAAAACATAGAGGGAAAATCTCATCCAAGGTCCCATCGCTTCCAAACAAAAACTGTGTTCCTTCCTGTGTTTTCCCTTCCAGTGTTTCTTGTTAGCTCTTAAACCCCAGCCACCTTCAGAAGTGTGAGTTGCTACAGCTAATAGCCTGGGGAGGAGCCGTCAACCTGACAAGACCAGGTTATCAGTTGATGATTATAGAGATGTCCTGTCCTTGCATAACGTGGAGCCCACCTGGACAGAAAGAAATTGTGTCCCAACACTGTTCTTCAGGGGTGCATGGAAACTTCTCTGGGACCTCTTATTCCCAGTCATATCGTACAGCGGGCCAGTTGTCTCTGTGCTTGCGTGGTCCACACTGCTCTGCTTCTCTTGGCCTGCATTCTCATTCTTTGCTAGGCATTCAACACGTGTTTTGTCCGGTGCCAAATTATTTTATGATGTTACAGTCCGGAAATATATTTTTATCTTTACTGGTTCAGATTTTCAGACTTTAAGCCTTAAGTCTTTTGAAGACCTTCTTAAAGAGCCTGCTTTCCCTGGAGATTCTCTAAGAAGTATCTGCTCCTTGTCTTTCTTTACTGTGGGAGGGCAGCTCTTATTTACACAGTGCTACGGCTCTGCTTGTCTCACCTTCGGTCACTTTATGCTCCAGTCACTGGACCAGCTGCCTTTTAATTCTGCTGCCAGTTTGAGAGGGGTTCGGGCCAGCTCCCAGTGAGTGAAAGAGGAACTTCCTGACTGGGTTAGAGCTCAAAGTGAGTATTTTTCTTCTGTCGGGTAGACTCATGGATGTGTTGACTTCCTGTAGGATACCATTAAGCATCTTTCCTAACTGACCTTTCAGTTAGGGATCCTTGTGTATTTAATTTCCAGGATATTTTATGCTACATAGTCTGATATAGACAGAATGTGTCCCCTCAAAAGTCATAAATTCAAAACCTAATTCCTAATGGGATGGTGTTTGGAGATGGAGCCTTTGGGAGGTGAGTAGGTTATGAGGGCTGAGCCCTCATGAATGGGACTGGTGACCTTGTAAGACATCCCAGACTGTCCTGGTGCCCCTTCCACTATGTGAGGACACATTAAGAGATGGCCATCTAAGAACCAGAAGGTGGCCTCTCACCAGACAACTAATCTGCCGGTCCCTTGATCTTGGACTTCCCAGCCTGCAGAACTGTGAAAATAAATTGTTGTTCGTAACAATCCCCATTGATATTGTTCTGTTATGGCAGCTCAGATGGACTAAGACATAGTCCTACTCAAGACTAGACTTGAGAGATCCACGTGACCAGGAGACTGGGTAGAAAGTTCATGGGCAGTTGTAACTTAAATGATCACAGGGTCAACAAGTGGCCAAAGAGTCTGGTTTAGAGAGACTTTTCTACATGCACAGAAGAGACAAAAGAGGAAGAGGGAGATATTGAAGTATTGAGCTATTAAAGATTAGTCCAAGATAATCAGCTAGAAAGTGTAATGAGTAGTGACACCAATCACCAAAGTAGGGTGATACCAATCACCAAAGGAGCTTCTCCTTCCAGCTGTGAAACCACCGTAGCTCAGACCTCCTGCAAATAATACAAGGAAAATAAAGTATACTAAATAAGCAAAGTATACTAAGCGAAGTGCACTGTTTGAGGGCACTGGCAAGCTACCAAGGCAGGGAGAATTTTCAGGACTAAAATCCAGAAGAAGAAGGAAGCCAAGGGAGGTGAGCCCTGCATTTAAGGCTGCTTTTTCTCACAAGAAACTTGCTGAATGCAAAAGCATGGCTGACAGGCAGAGAGGCTGAGCAGAGCTTCCAGCAATCCCTAGAAAAGATGAATTCTCTCAATGAGTGAAGCCCAGATTTGAATCATTTCCATCCTCAATTGGATTCAGATCTACCCTAAGCCCAGATGTCTGATAGAAGCAAAAGCAAATCCTTTCTTGAAGAAGGTAACCTCATTCTCAGCCTTACATGATCTCTGCAGATTTTTACACAGTGTCTGGTTCAATTAAAAAAAAATAATTCTCTTTAAAGTTTTTTTTTCCTTTTTTCTTTCTTTTTTTGTGATAAAAGTCAGGAGTCTCTTCAAATACAAAGCTGCTTGAGAGTCACTGCTGCAAATTATGCTGCCTAGAAGCCGTAGACATGGATGATATGCAGACAGAATGGCCATTTTCTCCTTAGTACCATGTTGGTATAAAAAGTACATCAGTAACCATGATGATTACCCATGGCCTATCTATCCCTCCAGGGCCAATTTAAGTACACATCTGGGACTATAGCACTTATTGTTTGTTGTCATGGAAGAGAACATTCACGGTGACATTTATTTATTGACTTGAATATTTATTATATTGGAATGTTCTTTTTATGGTCATATTTGTAAACTAAATTATATACACCCTCAACAGAAGTCTGTGCAATTAAATAATAATAAACCGCCTACTTTCCTAAATTTTTACTAATACAGCTGGCTAAATCTGGGGAGTTTCTGGCTTATTTATAAAACTGGCAGTATAGAAACATCTCCTGTTATTAAAGATGGCAAATTCTCCATTTTCTTTATGTGAACTTCTTATGCCAAGTTGAAGAAGAGCAAAATGTGACCCTTAAAAATGTGATCATATCCTTTTAACAGGAATTACAAAAGGTGCATTAAATTCTGACGAATATGAGCAAGTGAGTATATTCTAAATCCTCCTCCAGCCTGATTGTTTTAACTCCCAACAATTGACACTGAGGGGCTAGTGGGAAATTATGGGACTTCTTTGGCCACATGATCTAAAAATAAGACGGCTTTTAAGAGTTATTTTTCTTAAATAAATATGCCGCTTGCTAGCAGAGGGGATGAATTTTGTTTATCAACAAATATCTGTTTAGGGCTTTACTACATTAAAGCACAGTAGACCCTCTCAGCCTGGTATAGCGCAGGGCACAAAAGTAGGACCTCAGTAAATATATTTCAAATGAATGGACATCTGAAAGTACATAAGAAAAACACAAAGTTTTCTTACCAACCTCAAAGAAATTGTAGCGTTTGGAAAGACAAAAAATAAAACTATGAATACTTATGATTTAGTGTCAAAATGAGTGATTTATATAAATACTGTAATATATCAATGCATGGTCAGTGTGGGATATAACATTTCTTGAAACATTTTGTGGAAAGAGACAGGACTTGGACCGTGACTTGGAGGATGAGTGTAAAGGGAGGGGTGATGGGGTCCAGAGTAAACATTAGTCAGTTTCAGGACCAGCTTCACTGGAGCAGGGACCTATACTGAAGGGTACTTGGGTTAAAGGGAAGACGTGCAGGTAGATAGGGGTGAGCCCGGGACACACAGAGCTCTGATGATCTGAGTAGAGACAACAGATTTCCTGTAGATACCAGAACCTCATGGAGATATTCCTCGCAAGGGTACTACATGATGAATTTATCATTTCAGGGAATGTATCTGGTCAGAAAAATGTTATGTGAATTGGAGTCTTAGGAGGGAGTGAATAGACTGAAGAAAGCCATAAGTGACCATCAATTAATATGACCATTAATGTGCTATATAGAGAACATGTTATATGCAAACCGAATGGTAATCAGAAATCAAAAACAAGTAATAGATATGCAAAAAAATAAAGAGAAAGGGATCCAAGTATGTCATTAAAGAAAGCCAACCATAAAGCAAGTAACAAAATGGCAATAATACATACCTATCAATAATTATTTTGAATATAAATGGACTAAATGCTCCAATCAAAAGGCAAAGGGTAACTAAATAGAAAAACAAGACCTATCTATATGTTGCCTATAAATAGAGACTCATTTCAGACCTAAAGACACACATGCACATTGTAAGTGAAGGGATGGGGAAGCATTTATCATGCAAATGGATTTGAAAAGAAAGCCAGGGTACCGATACTTATATCAGATAAGATGATTTTTATTTATTTATTTATTTATTTATTTATTAAAAGATTTTATTTCTTTATTTGACAGAGAAAGAGACACAGTGAGAAAGGGAA